GATTGCCCATAACTGCCCTCCCCTGCACGCCAGGTCCCCCCCCCCAACTGCCCTTCCCTGCACGCCAGGTTCCCCCCCCCCCAACTGCCCTCCCCTGCACGCCAGGTTCCCCCCCCCAACTGCCCTCCCCTGCACGCCAGGTCCCCCCCCCCAACTGCCCTCCCCTGCACGCCAGGTTCCCCCCCCCAACTGCCCTCCCCTGCACGCCAGGTTCCCCCCCCCCAACTGCCCTCCCCTGCACGCCAGGTTCCCCCCTCCTAACTGCCCTCCCCTGCAGACATTGTCCCCCCCCCCCCAACTGTCCTCCCCTGCAGGACTGGCCCCCCCCTTCCCCCAACTGCCCTAATCTGCCAGCCTGGGTCCTGCCCCACTGTCCCTCTACTGCAGGCCTGGTGTTCCCCTCCTCCCCCCACGGCCCTCCCCTGCTGACCTGGTCACCCCTAACTGCCCACAACTGCCCTTGTGGCGGCCATCTTGTGTCTTGGGGTGACAATTTGCATATTACTCTTTTATAAGATAGGATAATTTACAATTGCAAAAATTGTATTTTTATCACTTGCTAGTCTTCTGGAATCTAAAAGCCCTATAATTTCCTCCCTTTCCCCTTTCCTGGGGTGCACTAGTGGAGGGATCCCTTTGTTAAATTTCCAAATTTAGAATTTTTTTTTATAATCCTCACCCAAGGATACATTTATTGATTTGAGAGAGAGAAAGAGAGAGAAACATCAATAGGTTGCCTCCCATATGTATCCTGACCAGGGATTGAACCTGCAACCCAGTTATGTGCTCTGTCCAGCAATTGAACCTATGACCTTTCATGTTTGGGATGATGCTCCAACAAACTGAGCCACACTGGCCACGGCTGGATTTTTTTGACTATTGCTGAATTAATTTTTTTAATGCATAAAAAGCACATAACATCAAGTGTACAATTAAATCATTTTAAATATACAGTTTAATAGTGTTAAGTGTGTTCATATTGATGTGAAGTACACAGATCTCCAGAACTTTTTTATATTGCAAAAGTAAAACTGTATAGCAAAACAACTTCTCTTTGCCCCATTCTCTACTTCCAGACCCTAGATAACCAGCTTTCTATTTTTTGTTTTTATGACTTTGTCTCCTTTATACCTCATATAAGTGGAATCATACCATATTTACTTTTTTGTGTGGCTGGCTTATTTAACTTAGCCAAATGTCCTCCAATATGACAGGATTTCCTTTCTTTCTATAGGGTAAATAATAGTTTATTGTGTATATGTGTGTGTGTATGTGTATAACACATTTTGTTTATTCATCCATGTGTTGGTGGCCATTTGAATTGCTTCCACCTCTTGGCTGTTGTGAGTAGTGCTGCTATAAACATGGGCATGCAAATATCTCTTCAGTAGCCTCCTTTCAATTCTTTTTAGTCCGTACCCAGAAGTGGCATAGTTAGATCATTTGGTAGTTCTTTTTAAAATTTTTGAGGAATTTCCAGGTTCTTCCATAGAGGTTGCAGCATTATGTAGTCCCATCAATAGCGCAGAAATGTTCCAATTTCGTCATATCCTTAAAGACACTTTAGGTTTTTTTCTAATAGCCACTATGATGGGTGTGAGCTAATATCTTATTATTTTGATTTACATTTCTTTGATAATTCGTGATATTGAGCATCTTTTTATATGCTTATTAGTCATTTGTGTATCATTGGAGAATATCTGTTCAAGTCTTTTGCTCACTTTTTAATAGTATTTTTTTGTTATTGTTGTTTAGTTGTAGGAGTCCCTATATATTCTGGAATTAACCCCTTAACAGATGAATAATTTGTAAATATTTTCTCCTATTTTGTACATTGCCTTTTCACTCTGTTCATTCTGTCTCAGTTCTGTTTTGATACAACAAAGTTAAGTTTGATGTAATACCATTTGTCTGTTTTTGTTGCTTATACTTTAATGTTATATCCAATGAATCACTGCTAAATTCAGTGTCTTGAAACTTTTCTCCTTTGTTTTCTTCTAGGGGTTTATATTTTTAGTTCTTACATTGAGGTCTTTAATCCATTTGGAATGTTTTATATGGTGTAGGTAAGATAAGAGTGTAACTCTATTCTTTTGCATGTGGATATCGTTTTCCCAGCACCATTTGTTATAAAGGCTGTACTTTTTCCATTGTGTGGTCTTGGCACCTTGTTGAACATCATTTGACCATCCATGAGAGGGTTTACTTCTGAGCTTTCTATTTTTATGCCAGTATATGTCTATCTTTATGCCAGATTAAGTGTGAGACCTCCAACTTTGTTCTTTTTTGAAATTGTTTTGGCCATTTGAGGTCCTTTGAGATTATAATTGTAGGATAAGTTTTTTTCTCTCTGCAAAAAAATGCCATTGTGACTTCCATAGGGATTATATTGAATCTGTAGCTTGCTCTTGATAGTTGTAAATCTTAACATGATTTAAGTCTTCTAATCTTAGGATCTGTCTATGTATTATGTCTTTAATTTTTTAACAGTATTTTATAGGATCCAGTGTATAATTTTTCATCATCTTGGTTAAAGTTTATTTCCAAGTATTTTATTCTCTGCTGTTATTGTAAATGGAATTTTTTTTTTCTTAATTTCTTTTAAGATTGTTCATTGACTAGCTACTGAAGGATAAAAATCATAAAACTTTTAAAATATATCTGACAAGTCTGAAAGAGATAGTCTTTGATGTGGTATTATAAGTCTATAAAAAAACATGTTCTGAATTGGAGCAAAGTAGAGAAAGATGGAAGAAAGGGGAGGAGAAAGAAAGCAGTTGATGAGAAATAGACAAGAGATGGGAGGGAGAAGTGAGTTTTCAATAGGTTCTCAATTGAGTATTAGAATGTAATCTACTTTTGATCTATTTGAATCATGAGCTTCATAATCATACTTTTTTCCTTTTAAAGCTAATATTCCTTTACAGTGCTTCACTGCTATAAACTTGTTCTAATTATAGTAGTCAAATGAGTTTTTGTTTTTTCTTCTCTCACCACTGTATAAAACTGGAAATCAGAGGATTCCATTATTCTGATCTGGTTCTGTTGTTAACTGGCTTTATGAACCCAGGAAGTCACTTGCCTTCTGTGAGCCTCAGTTTACTCATCTGCCAAATCTTGGAGCTGGACAAAATGACCTATATGGATATATTCTGTTTTTCTTTTAAATCGGTTTTGCCCTAAGTATGGTAGTGGTTTCCCATGTTAAAAAACAAATACTTTTAACATGCTTTTGAAATTTATATTAACATATATTCTCTTAAATATCGTTAGCACAGAAATTATTTTTGCATAATCTGTCATTCTAACTTGCTGCTATTTGAGATGTTAGGGACTGTCTGCAGTTTTCCTGTTAAGAGTGTCATCCTTTTTTTTTTTTTTTTTTTTTTAAATACTTGGCACCTGTAAATAATTTTTTTTGCATGATCTTCAAAGTTCATTGATTATGAACTTTTGTGGGAGTATTTGAAATAATTCCCAGACTTTGTATCAGGGTTTCCTTTTGAGAAAACTATTATATTAGGAAACTAAAGCTGTTTTTCCAAGTCTGTAATTTATTTATAGCTACGATAGCTTTATTTTAACTTAAAGTTTTTACTTAAAACCTTTGCACATTTTGCTTTGATAGTGAACTGAGCTATGAAAAGATACAATTGACCTAATAGGATCATGTGATATTAAAGAAAAGTAATGCCATGTATATGTATTATAAGACATATAGTCAGAGGTACCAGAGAGTTAGGGATTTATAAACTTTGTCTTCAGTCTTTATACTTTTTGGTTTGGTTTAATGTAAAGATTATGGAGTAGCAGGTACAAAGGTCTAGTTATCAAGAAAAAGGTGAAATTGGCATCCTGTATTCAGTAGGTTATATGGTCATGGTTTAATACTGAGGAGCACTGATCATACTATCTTATAGACACTAGAGGGTAGCAAAGAATATTAAAGAAGGGAAGAGCATCTCTCATTTTTCATCTTCTAATGTGCACATTACATACCAGACATATCTTCCAGTATGTTCATAGGTAGTGAAATTGTGTGTTTTATTTAAAGGACATTAAAGTTTTATTACTAAAAGTTTTCCGAAGGTTTCAAGTTGGCCACCACCAAATAAAATTTTCAATATGATTTTCATTCTGGTAAAGAAAACTTTAGGGGAAAATTTAAACTTGCATCTGTTAAAACTTAAATTCTTCACAAATAGGAAAAAAAATGAAATTCTTATTTTTAGTAGATCAAATGAGCACTAGGAAATTAAAATATTTGAAAGGATAAAATGTATGATGCTTAAGTAGTACTTAAGCAAAAGTTGAGGTTTATTGATTGATGTTTAAAAAAAAAAAAACCGGAGCAAGTTCACAGAAGTTCTAGCAGACTCTCCCACCTTCTAATTTATTTTTTATGTCTTAATTTGTTCTAAAACGCTTATTAAAATAAAGCAAGATAGACTTTAATCATTAGTACTGAAACATAATTTTACTTGAATCTCATTTTCTAGAATATCCAACCATTCTTTTGTGATTGTCTATATAAGTATGTAATGCCCTAGTACTGCAAATTTCTAATGATGCTAACCCCTGGTATTGAAGAATAAATGCAGGGGAAGGGGTGGATTAGTATAATTTTAATAACGTTGACTATTAGAATTTAATGTGAAATTATTTTATCAAGAAGTTAATTCACCTCATTCTCAATGGTACTCTCAGGGGGAAAAGGTATTTAATGCAATTTTTAAATGTTAGCTATATAATATCATTTTACTTATAAGGTCAAGTATTTTGTGATAATCATGTAACAGAAATAGTTAATTGCAAAGAAGGATTGGGGTAGTTCCTGTGCTTTAAAAAAATATTTCTCTTAAGTATTATATTGCAAATGAATTATTACCAAATGTTAATAGGTAGATTCTATGCTTTTTAAAAAATTCTCCTTATAAGTATTTTATTGCAAATGAATTGTTACTAAATACTAACAATATATTATGTCTTGTTTTTTAAAGTGAATGAATTTTTAGCTTTTGAGGGTCCCATCTTGTTGGATATGAGAATTAAACATCTAATCAAAACAAATCAATTAAGTCAAGCAACTGCTCTAGCAAAGCTGTGTTCTGACCATCCAGAGATTGGTACAAAAGGTAGTTTTAAGCAAACTTACCTTGTCTGTCTTTGCACATCATCACCAAATGAAAAGTTAATTGAAGAGGTGAGTATGTTTTTTTTTTTTTGTTAGTAATTCTTTTTTTTAAACTGAAGAAACTTTTAAGGTAGATTAGAATGCTTTGATTTCTCTTTCTCTTAGTGAGGGACCATTGTTAATCTTATTTTTCATAAGCTCTTGGATAGTGATTCTAAACAACTTTAAAAATTATAATGTAAAATAATTTTATCTAGTTTCTGTTTTAAATAATATGGATCTTATAACTGCTTTGGCTGAATTATGGGAAAGATAGTGGTGACTTAACAGTTTAATAGAATGTTTGTCAGCTTTTGGGCCTTAACTTAGTTTTACTTAACTTTCAGATATTTGCAGATTTTTTCAATTGACTAATTTAAATAACTTTATAGAATTTATATGACTTCCCCCAGAAGTTCTTTCTTTGTTTTTATTGTGTATAAAAAATATTTCGTTTAATATTGTATCTCTTATGAGAGTTAAATGTCTATATCTCTTCCTAATTATATGTAAAGATAAATTTTATATTTGCATATTAATGTCAAACTATTTTCTTTGTGCACATGATGACTCCTTCCCCCCCAGTTTCATGTAAAGCATAGTATTCATGTATTTTTATGTTTTATATTATAAAATTCTGAGAGTAGAATCATGGTCCAAATGGAAATTTTGGATTTTGGGTGACTCATAATTCCAAAGTGAAGTTGAAGGCAGTTGTAGGAGAACTAAATGTTGTTGAAGAAATAGGGAATATGTATTGAAAGGATATGTATTTAGATAATGAAAACTAATATGTTAGATAGTATTGTGTGAAAATATAATGTGTACAAGTATCTTGTATTTCTATGATAAGTATCTGTAGTTCCAGAACAGAAGAGAACAAAGAGGTTGTAGGACAAACTTAAAGATATATAATGGAAAAATTGAGATTCAAGACAGAGAGGACTTTTAACAGTGTGTGTATGATCAGCTGAATAGACAGAGATTGTAATCAGAGTCCAGAAAGAGAATAGCCTCAGATAGAAAGCTGAATGCCCATATGCAGTTAGAGGTTGTATTTGTAATGGACCAAGATTAGATATAAGCCTGTTGTGTATAGCAAGGATAATGAGGATACTGAGAAGAGTTATGTCAGGCAATTTCTAAGTGGGATGGAGTAGAGCAAAGGGTTCTAGCTTAGGAAATTATATCATTAATTTGAACATTGGCTCATCTATAGATTTTTTTTCTTTGCTATTTTTATCTCAGGTAATTTGGCTTTTTAATCACTGGATAGCAGAGCAAAATGGAAGATTGAAGTTTTCTTATTAGTTCAGAATAACTATGTAGACAACTTAATAGGCTGATGTATAAAGTTTCTTGAGGAAGTCTTTGATATGTGTGTAACATTTTTTTAATTCTTAAAATAGTTATTATGCTGCTACATAAAGCCTTCATCTGTTCAGTCCCTGCCCTAAGTCAGTCTGTCTGTTGGTCCTGTAGCAATTTTTATTTAGTGAATGATGTGTACTAAGCACGGGGGCGGGGGGGGGGGGGGCTAGTTAAAGGTGAGTAAGGCATAGGCTCTGCCCTAAAGAGCATCCCATCTCTTCTAGTAAAAAGCTATCTAGCCGAAACCGGTTTGGCTCAATGGATAGAGCGTCGGCTTGGGAACTGAAGGGTCCCGGGTTCGATTCCAGTCAAGGGCATGTACTTTGGTTGTGGGCATATCCCCGGTGGGGGGTGTGCAGGAGGCAGCTGATCGATGACTCTCTCTCATTGATGTTTCTAACTCTATCTCTCTTCCTTCCTCTCTGTACAAAATCAATAAAATATATATTTTTTTTAAAAAAGCTATCTAAACATAGGGCTGTTGGGTTAACTTTGAAGTCCTACTTGAAGTATTTGTAATATACCAGGAAAATAATTTTGTATTTTTAGCTGTTTGAAATTTTAAAAAAAAAAAAGGATGCAATACTGAACCTAAAGTAAATTCCCTTTTGGTTTAATTATCCTGAGTTGAGTAGCAGCAACTCAACCTACTCTGGGAGACCCTAAAAAATTCTCTGTGTGGACTCTCGTTCTGATGGCATATGAAATGATTTTATTTTTCCTTCTGTTAAGCAGGAAGAATTAAGACATTCTATATTCTTGTTTTAATATTTTTTTTTTATTGATTTCATAGAGGGGGGAGAGGGAGAGAGAATCATTGATCGCTGCCTCCTGCACACCCCACACTGGAGTTCAAACCCACAGCCCATGCATATGCCCTGACTGGAGTCGAACCATGACCTCCTGGTTCATAGGTCAACGCTCAACCACTGAGCCATGCCGGCCGGGCCATTCCATGTTCTTGAACAGAATTCACTAAAATCTCTGTATCCTACTCCAGAAACAAAACTAGGTCACATAATACAGGACAGGATTTATGTGTAAGTCTACACATTTTCTTGTTAAAAGTCCCTTTTTGCTTAGAGATTGATTATTCTTTTATATTTCTGTTACAAACATAGAAACTTTTTTCATTGTTTTATGAAGTAAATTTTCTTATTATTTCTGCCCAAGTAAAGGTAGTCACTTTGGAACAGTTGTTCCCATCAGAATAGGTATACTTGCTCTCTCACATGACCTACTTCATTTACTTTATCTGTCTGGTTTTTGTAAGCATTTGAGATTTTTACCCTTCCTAAGAGTATGGTAGAAATAGATATTGGAAAGAGTCAACTATACCTTGGATCTATGATCCTTTTGAAGAAATCCTTATTGAAGTGAGCCAGTAGACAAGGGATTGGCTGTTTTCCAGACCCTTTCAATGTGATAAAAATAGCAACTAGTCCTGGCAGAGGAGTTGCTGCTGAGGGAAATTAGTGTCTATCTGGCATCTCTGGAAGGAATGAGTTTGGCCTGGATTCTTGGTTTTAGGTATAAAAACAAAGGTAGCAGTGTTCATTTTAAATCCAGTATTTTATTTTATTTTTTTTTTGTTAAAATTAACATAGAAATTTGAAGAGTAAAATCCTCTATCTTGTGTCTTTCTAGCCAACATTTCCTCAGTTAATACTCCCCGAAGTAATCACTAAGTTTGAAGTTGGGTATATAAACTTTCTGACATTTTTCTTTGTGTATATGTATACATATTATATACTTTATATATTAAAACATACATATACACACCCTCCTGGATGCTAGTCACTTTTCACCTCCATGTTATTCCATATAGATTCATCTAATTTTTTTCTCATGGCTGCATACTTTTCATATAATGGATTTGTAATATATTTAAGCTACTAGGGAACATTTAAATTGTTGACATACAACCTTTCATTCTTGTTGGGTGTACTGGTAGGATAAATTTCTAGAAGTGATAAATTGCTGGATCAAAGTATCTACATATTTTAAATAATACACAGCCATGCTGTCATCTAAAAAATTATGCCAATTTATTCTCTCATAAGTAGTATATGAAATTTCTTCTTTCCTAATACTATAAGGTTATCCATCTTTTAAATATTTGCTAACCTGAGAGTTTTAAAAAAAATAGGAGCTCATTATTTGATTTTACATTTTCTTAGTATGTCAGGTTTACTATTTAACTTTATGGATGGAAAACAATTTTATTTTGATAAGCAAAATATTATTTTTGAAATGTAATTAGAGCAAATACATTTTAAAAGTATACTTGGTAGAAGTAGATAATAAAGTATTGATGAAGTATTCTTTATTTTTTGAATACCTGGCATAAAGAGCCATATTAAAACATAAAAATTGTTCACATTTTTAAATGATTTTTTTTTTTTTTTTTTTTTTTTGCTATATATATTCAGAGTTTTAAATTTTCTGGTATTTAAATTTTTTGCTCACTTAAAAAAACATATTTTTACTAATTTCAGAGAGGAAGAAAGAGGGAGAGAGAGAGAGAGAAACATCAGTGATGAGGGAGAATCATTGATTGGTTGCCTCCTACATGCCCCCTACTGGGGATCAGACCTGCAACTAGGACATATGCCCTTACCAGGAATTGAACCAGTGACCTCTTGGTTCCTGGGTTAATGCTCAATCACTGAGCCACACCTAGCCAGACAAATCATTGCTCACTTTTTAAAGCAGTCGAGAAGAGTTGGTAATCTCTACCTTGGATTTAAAAAATAATTCTTAGACATTTATTGCTATATTTGACATATATTTCACTTTCACAATTTTAACTCAACCATTCATTAATTTAAATATGGTTTCATTTTCCCTGCCATTCTCTTCCATGTCACATTTTTAAAATAGGGCTATGTAATGGCAAATCAGAGATTTAATAAAGGATATAAAGTGCACAGTACCAATTGTTTTCTTAGAAGGCCTATAAAAAGTGATGTTTTTCTATGTTATTGAATACTAGAGGCCTGAAATTCGGAGCCTCTAGTAGAGGTTGGGGGGGAGGGGGGTGTCCCTCAACCCAGCCTGCACCCTCTGTAATCTGTCACCCCTTTCACAATCCAAAATTGCTGGCTCTCAACCACTCGCCTGCCTGCCTGATTGTCCCTAATTATTCTGCCTGCCAGCCTGATTGATGCCTAACTGCTCCCCTGCCAGCCTAGCCTGTTTGTCCCTAACTGTCCTCCCCTGCAGGCCTGGTCGCCCCCAACTGCCCTCCCCTGCTGGCCTGGTCACTCCTAACTGCCCTCCCTTGCCAACCTGGTTGCCCCTACCTGCCCTTCACTAACAGCCTGGTCGCCCCCAACAGCACTCCTCTGCAGGTTTGGTCACCCCCAACTGTCCTTTCCTGCTGGCCCAGTCACCCCTAACTACCCTCCCTTGCCAGTTTGGTCGCCCCTAACTGCCCTCCCCTGCTGGCTTGATTACCCACAACTGCCCTCTCCTGCCGGCCATCTTGTGGTAGCCATCTTGTGTCCACATGGGGGTAGCCCTCTTATGTGTTAGAGTGATGGTCAATTTGCATATTACTTTTTCTTTTAAGATGGGATAGCAAATGTTTCAGTTGGTATATTGTATATATAAGAATAAATATGTAGAAGCTATCTTAAATATATACAAATTTAAATTATTAAGTGTAAGCTAATGCAGGTGATATCATTAGGAAAATAAACTTATTCCCTTATATATAATGTACACATTTTACATCATTTGAACATTTAACAAGAATGGCTTAGGTTTTAGAAGATTAAAAAGAAATAATCAGAATTAAAGTAAATCAGAGTGTTAAGATTAAAAGAATTGTTGTTAAACATGAAAAGATAAAAAATCAACATCTACATTAATAAAAGAGTAAGATCCAAATTGAGTGTACCTTTGTGATGCCCACCAGCCAATCAGGAGTGAGCATGCAAATTAATCTAACAAAGGTGGTGGGCTAATTTGCATATGCTGGTATTCTCTGCCACTCCAGGCCTCTGGGCAGTGTGGGAAGGCAGAAAGGCAGCTCCAGGCCAGAGCAAAGGCGATGCCAGCAGCCAGGGGAAGGAAATGCCCATTCTTGCATGAATCTTCATTCATCAGGCCCCTAGTTTAACAAAACAAAAAAAGCCTCAGTCTGCTTGTGCCTGTGGAATTTTGGCAAGTGCAGAGACTTTGAAACAAGACCTGAGTTGAAATCTTGATTCTGTTACTAATTGAGCATGTACCTTTGAGCAAGTAACTTGACCTCTCTGAACCTTATCTCAGAAATGAAGCAGTTGTATCTATCAGGCAAATTACTGTGCTGACTAGCAAAACTGTTTAAAAAGCTGCATTAATAAATGAATATATCTGTTATTGTTGTTATTACCATCTTATAAAAAAAAGTAAACACACACACACACAATAGCTCATGGGTTGATTTCCTAACATTTGACTGCATGTGTTTGCCAGGGTAATAGTTTAAAGTTAATACAGCTTTTCATAAAAAGATACTGTGATAAATAAAGAGAGTAGATCTTTGCTGTCAGTCAGACATACATAACTTGATTTGTGCTTTTACCACTTAACTAACTAACCATGGTAACTTGGGTAAATTACATAATTTATTTGAACCTCACATTAATTATACATAAAATATTAATATCAACCTAGTGGAAAAGTTGTGATTAAATAATACCTGATAATGCATTTAATATTGTAGGTATTTGAAAATATTGATTATATAAATATATACATGTGTGTATATGTATACATATATATTGTTCAGTCCTTTTTGTTTAAGTGGAGTAATTTTGTAAGAAAGAGACAGGAGCAATGGAAAGAACACTGCATCTAGGAATTCCAACACTTAGGCTTCAGTCTTAACTCTGCCATTAACTTCAGACCTATTTTAAGAAATTATTGTTAAACACAGACAAGGAATTGAGTTTTTTCTTGTCTTAGTGTTGTCTAGCCCAATTTAATATGTAAAGTGGAACCTCTGAATCTATCTCCAGGTAATCTTTATATTCATTATCAAACGTCAACTTCAAGATACCCTCATCTCCAGTTAGACACTTTTTCAATCCTAAATGCATTACATTTTATACACACACACACACACACACACACACACACGTATGCACGTATATTTAAAAGTTGAAGGGAGGAGATAGAAGATCTAAGGAGGGTCATGGTTACTTCTGTGGGACATGGGTGCTAATGGTCTGTATTTATCTTCAGTTAAGTTATGCATGTTAGAATTAGTCTTTCTATTCTGTGGAACGTCAGTGATTTATCATTGTTTGCTGTTCGTTACATTCTTGTCTTAGAACAAATGCTTATGGAAATCATAGGTAAATTTTGTTTGTTTTATGTTGTAAATCATTGTAATGAGCTAGTAAATTTTAATTTTTTAAGAAGCAATAGATGTAAGTGCATAATTAAATGAAGCAAGTCGCCATTATCTAGGTATTATACCTTTGCATGCATGACTTTTGGCAAGCTTTGAGATGGAACAATTGTATCTGAAAAGAAAAATACTGGAGATTTATAGAAAATGGAAGTGAGTTTAATTTAAAAGTGTTACATCTATATAAAATGTTTTATACTTTAGTCCCTCAGGTGAATACTTTTTTTATTACCGTATTTTCCGGCGTATAAGACGACCCCCTAATTTTACAGTTAAAACATAGGTTTAGGCCTATATTCGCTGTATAAGACTACCTCCCACTTCTGAGGCAACACCAGTTCTTTTTTTAATAGACCACCTCTCTAACTCAGCCAATCCAAGTAGCCTTTTTATGCATGCAAATTATACATGTTCTGTACCCAAAGCTACACTACGTTCTAGTAAAAAGCCTGCTCAGATTGGCCAGAGTCAGAGAGGCGGACTATTAAAAAAAGAACTGGCCGAAACCGGTTTGGCTCAGCAATAGAGCGTCTGTCTGCGGACTGAAAGGTCCCGGGTTCGATTCTGGTCAGGGGCATGTACGTTGGTTGTGGACACATCCCTGGTAAGGGGTGTGCAAGAGGCAGCTAGTCGATGTTTCTCTCTCATTGACGTTTCTAGCTCTCTATCTCTCTCCCTTCCTCTCTGCGAAAAATCAATAAAAATATATTAAATAAATAAAGAAAGAAAGAAATAAAGAACTGGTGTTGCCTCGGAAGTGGGGGGTAGTCTTATACAGCGAATATAGGCCTAAACCTATATTTTAACTGTAAAATTGGGGGGGTCGTCTTATACTCCGGAAAATACGGTAGTCTATATCCAGTAGTTTTCTGTATATTTTTGCTTATTCTAATGCTTTTTAAATTATTGGATAAAAGGGTAGAAATACAAATAATCCAGCTTTTCAATATCATAAATGTGATCTAATGGGTAGAGAAGTTGCTTATAATTAGCATTAATTATTTATATAAAAATGCATGCTTGTAAAGTTCTTGAAAATAGTTGGTTTTCTGGCTTAAAGAAAGGATATTTTTGTAAACTCTAATGACAACTTATGAGTTGGTAGTGGTTGAGTTAATGAGGTTTTACTGATGAAAATGATCTGTAAATATTTAATGAAAATTTGCAAGTAAGTATATTACTATATGTCTTAATATAATACCATCTTATGGCCTATTTCTATATCCTTTTTCTATAGATTTCAGAAGTTGATTGCAAAGATGCACTAGAAATGATCTGTAACTTAGAATCTGAGGGTGATGAAAAAAGTGCTCTTGTTTTATGTACTGCATTTTTGTCACGTCAGCTCCAACAAGGAGAAATGTATTGTGCTTGGTGAGTTGCTTTTCCTTTGTAAAGAAAAGTTTGTTAAGTAAGAATACAAGGTAGGTTGTGAAAATTCAAATAACTTAAGAGCATATTTTTTAAAAATCTTTTTAAGTTTTATCAAGATAGAAAACTTATTTTCAGATGTTATATGCTATTTAAACTGATTATCAAGTAGTTCATACTATAACTTCAAAAACTTTCTGTATTAAGGATCACACAACTCCTTAATATGCCAGTAATAATCACATAATATTCATATTGATGAGAAAATTTTTAATCTTGTAAAATGAAAGAAAGGTTTATTTTGTCTAATGCTATTTATGTATAAATATTCCTCACATATTTATACAACCTATGATTGAATATGTCTATTTTTTTCTTTTGCATATTATATACTTTTAACTCTATGAAACTGTTAGTCGTTTATGTATGAAATACATACATAAACGACTAACAGTTTTTTGGTTTTTTTCTATGAGACTCATTTTACATCACTGACTTATTCAGTGCACATTTCTTTATATATGGTACATTTCCAAGTGGGCAAAAGCTGTTATTATAGTCCTTGGGGGGGGGGGGGGGGTAGGGAAAGATATAGCTAACAGAAAATTTAACTTCAGGTAACTCAAAAAAACTTTCATGATCAGCTATCGTAAAATAGTGCTAAAATTGATTATTTATTTGGTCAGTTAACAGCTTTGGTAATCTTTATTGTTGTTTTGGTATTATGGGAATAAACAAGAAAATTTAATTTTATAAAATTTTAACATTTACAAATGTGTACCAAGTGACACATGGCATACAAATAAGTTTAGAGCAGGCAAGCTAAAAATAAATGGTTGTGTAATCAAAGATTTATAATGCATAATTATAAAGGTTTTCTAAGCAGTTGAGCTTCGTTATGAAGGGAAATTATATATGCAATATAGAGAAAATTAAAAGTCAGGTAGAAAGATTCTGAAGATAATAAATAACATGTATTTATTGAAGACAAGTAGAAGTTCTATATTAACAAGTATCAGTTTTATAATTTATGACTAATAAATTAATGTATTATATTGGTTTTCTAAATTTTCTAAGGTTATATATGAAAAGCAAAAGCAGTTTTATTATAAGAACTAATGTAGAAGTAGGACAAAATAGACGTTTTTGTTTAGAAACACTGTTTAAGGTAAGCAGTTGGGAATGGCTTGGGAGCTTGAACAGGGAGGGCAGAGTTGGGGAGAATGAATAGCAGTATGATAGTCCAGCTGGGAGGCTATGAAGGCTTCCTTATAGATGTAGGATGTAGTGAAAGAAACATAAGGTAACAGTCTTGAGGATAGTAAAAAGCAGAGGCTGATAGGGTCAGTGATAATGATGCATTAAGTTAGAAAGATAGTGAACTGTAAAGAATGTTAATCATCTTTTTCATATATTAAGTTTCAGGTTTCAGAAGTGATCAAAGTGGATAAGTCTTATGAAGAAATAGGTGAAAGTGTTAAAGACTGGAGAGACAGATTTTGAAGTCCTCAATATATAGTTTAAAATCCAGAAATGAGCAAATTATTCAAGAGGGTGGTAAAATATCAGAGTTCCTAGGAGTGGAAAATGAGGAAATGCTAATAGGAAGGCCTGTATTGAGTCGAATACTTGATGAAAGAAGATTTTTGTGGAAGTTAACCATGGAGGAGAGAAGAGAAATAGGATGATAGGTAAAAGGGAGAAAAATATATTGTAATTGCATTTGAATATACTTCAAAGTTCATTTTTTAAAATTTCTATTATTTTTTCACTGCTGTGACACAGGGTAGTTAATTACTTCCAGGTTCTGTTTCATAGATTCTTAACATTTATCTAATGATAATTTATTTGAAATTTAATTGACCAATTAAATGGGTCAATTTTAAATTTAAGGTAAAAGATAAAAATTAAATGGCCTTTTAAAAACCATTATACCATCAGTACAGGCCCAGTGCACGAAAATAATGCACTCAGGGATAGGAGTCCCTCAGTCTGTGCCCTCTAGCAATCCGGGAGCCCTTGGGGGATTTCTTACTGACAACTTAGGCTGCGCTCTCCAGCTATGAGCCCGGCTTCTGGCTGAGTGGTGCTCTCCCTGTGGGCAGCTCCTTCATTGAGTATTTGCCCCATGGTGGTCATTGCATGTCATAGTGGCCAGTCGTTCCGCCCTTTGGTCGATTAGCATAGTAGTGTCTTATTGTATACTAGAGGCCCGGTGCACAAAATTCATGCGGTGGGCGGGGGGGGGGGGGTTGGTTTCTCATCCCAACCTGCATCTTCTCCAATCTGGGACCCCTGGAGGGATGTCTCACTGCCCATTTAGGCCCAATCATATACGGGCAGTCGGACTTTGCTCACAATCCAGGACTGCTAACTCCCAACTGCTCGCCTCCCTGCCTTCCTGATTGCCCCTAACCATTTCTGCCTGCCAGCCTGATTACCTCCTATCCACTCCCTGCCAACCTGATTGATGCCTAACTGCTCCCCTGCCTGCCTGTTCGCCCCTAACTGCCCTCCCATGCATGCCTGGTCCCTCCCAACTGCCTTTCCCTGCAGGCCTGGTCCCACCCCCCCCCCCCCCCCCCCCCCGCACAACTGCCTTTCCCTGCAGGCCTGGTTGACCCCAACTTCCCTCCTCTGCCAACTTGGTCACCCCTAACTGCCCTCCCCTGCAGGCTTGATTGCCCCCTTCTGTCCTCCCTTGCAGGCCTGGTCCCTCACAACTGCCCTCCCGTGGTGGCCATTTGTGTCCATATGGGGGCAGCCATCTTTGACCACATGGGGGGCAACCATCTTTGACCACATGAGGGCAGCTATCTTGATCTTGTGTGTTGGAGTGATGGTCAATCTGCATATTGTTCTTTTATTATATAGGATAGAGACCTGTTGCATGGTTGGGAACCAACTGGTTTACCCTGAAAGATGTTCCTGATCAGGGTGGGGGTTCCCTTAGGGCATGGAGTGGCCTGGGCGAGGGGCCTATGTTGGTTTGCAGGCTGGCCACGCCCCCTATCCCCCCTTCCTCTCCCCCCCCCCCCCATGACCCAAGTGGAGGCCCTGGTATCTGGGATTTATTTATCTTCTATAATTAAAACTTTGTAGCCTTCAGTGGAGGCCAGGGTGTGCGGAAAGCTTGGCTTCCTCTATTGCCGGGAAACCCAAGCCTCCTGCTTGCTCTGTGGCTGCAGCCATCTGGGTTGGGTTAATTTTCATACTCACTCCTGTTTGGCTGCTAGATGTGGCTTGTGGGTGTAGCAGAGTGATGGTTAATTTGCATATTACTCTTATTAGGATTATTTGCCTATTAGGGTACACACACAAAATGTGTGGGTGGGTGGGTGGATGAATAGATAGATAGATAGATAGATAGATAGATAGATAGATAGATAATGTACACACACATCTTGTGTTTCTTACTAAAATTCAGATGTACTTCAAAGTTACCATTTATTTAAATTATTTAAAAGTCAGGTACTTTCCTGGTAAAAGGCAGTGCTTTTCTCTCTGAGATAGAAAAATAATAATGGTAAATTATATCCTGATTTTATTTAGTCTTAGAAAATTGAAGATTTTGGGTTTTCTGTTTTTTTGTTGTTTTTGCTTTTAAACTTAATTATACCTGTAGAATTCAAATATAAAATCAGTGTTAATTTCAAATATAGTGACTGCACTGTCATAGTCCATGTGTATTACCTTATTGCTCCAACTTATTTTTATACATTTTTAGGGAACTCACTCTCTTTTGGAGTAAATTACAGCAGAGAGTAGAACCATCTGTTCACGTGTACCTGGAAAGATGTCGTCAACTTTCTTTGTTAACCAAGACAGTATATCATATTTTCTTCCTGATTAAAGTTATTAATTCAGAGGTAAGAATAATCTCAAGGAGTCTTTTAATTCAAAATACATAAATTATTTTTAATAATAGTCTTACTTTGGCACCTTTTCTACTGTTTTTTATTTCATTTAATGCTTTTAAATATTGATTTTTTTTATAGTCCTTTAAAACTTTTGGTTTAAAGAAACTTAAAAATGCAAATGAGAGCCAGGAATTTGCTCTTAGCCTGTAGAAAAGTAATATATTTAATAGTTGTAGTTTACTGCTCTATAATTTTCACGTATAGGTATCATTCTATTTTGATAATTTCCACTGTAGAAATGTAGAGAATATAAAGAGAAATATACGATTGGCTTTGCCAGCCATCTGGCAGATCACACGATCTACAAAAAATACTTCTACAGAACACCCAGAAATACTTGCTAAAGTAAAACAATTTTTTTTTAATGTATAATAGCTGAGATTGCAAGGATAAGGGAGATTCCCCAGGCTCAAAATGAAAAGAAACCTGTAAAGTGGAGCAGAGACCTGATGGTGGATCTCTCCTTCCTGGTGGATATTGAGATAAGGGGTTTGAGTTTTAATATTTACATGGGGAAAGAAGAGCAATATGGGGATAGGAGATAAGATCTTGGCTCTGTCAAGTTGGAGAGTTAGAGCTAAGATCTATATCTCCCTCCCCTCCTCTGCCAACCTGTGAAGTCCTAAAAATTAATTGAAAAGTAAATTAGAAAAATATTACTAACACAGATGGATGATAGGGAACGATAGGGAACTTTATGCATGACCAACTGTGCTGTGAGGTAGAGGACAAAATGTTTCCTCTAAGAAGTTATAACCATTAGTCTTGCCCCCACACAGATTTGGGGTCCAACAATAAAAAATATATTTTTTTTAAATATCAATGGGAAAAATACCCTCTGGTGAGGACTAACAAAAAAACAACACATATACACAGAAAAGAACTTTGTTATAAAGTTGAAATCTTAACACCAACAAAACAATAAACTACGAAAAAAATTTTTTTAATAAATCTTTATTGTTCATATTATTACAAATGTTCCTCTTCCCCCCCCCTCCATTGCTCTCCTCCACCAGGTTCCCACCCCACCCTCTGCCCTTTACCCATCCCCCATTGTCCTCATCCATAGGTGCACAGTTTATATTCAGTCTCTTCCCACATCCCCCTCTCCCCTTTTCCCCAAGAATCGTCAGTTCACTCCCCTTCCATACCTCTGATTCTATTATATTCAACAGTTAATATTGTTCATCAGATTTTTTTTTTAATTTCCTTGGTTTTTAGATTCACTTGTTGATAGTTATGTATTTGTTGTTCATAATTTTTATCTTTATTTACTTTCTCTTCTGAAAGAACCCCTTTTAGCAATTCATATAATTCTGGTTTGGTGGTGATGAACTCCTTTAGCTTTTTTTTATTAGTGAAGCTCTTTATCTGGCCTTCGATTGTGAGTGATAGCTTTGCTGGATAGATTATTTTTGGCTGTAGGTTCTTATTATTCATCACCTTGAATATTTCTTGCCATTCCCGTCTGGCCTGCATGGTTTCTGTTGAGAAATCAGCTGACAATCGTATAGGTGCTCCTTTATAGGTAACTACCTGCTTTGCTCTTGCTGCTTTTAATATTTTCTCTTTTTCTTTTGCTCTTGGAATTTTAATTATGATTTGTCTTGGTGTGGTCCTCTTTGGATTCTTTTTGTTTGGAGTTCTGTGAGCTTCCTGGACTTGTAAGTCTAATTCTTTCACCAGGTGGGGGAAGTTTTCTGTCACTATTTCTTTCAGTATGTTTTCGATATCTTGCTCTCTCTCATCTTCTGGGACCGCCATAATTCTGATGTTGGTTCGCTTGAAGTTGTCCCAAAGGTTTCTTACATTATCTTCAATTTTCTGGATTCTCTTGCCTTCTTGCTTCTGTGGAGGAGTGTCTTCTGGCTCTTATGTTCCAAATCTTTGACTTGATTCTTGCGGTCTTCCATTCTGTTTTTAGGACTCTGTATAATATTTTTTATTTCAGACAATGTATTCTTTGTTTCTTGTTGATGCCTTATTATTTCTAGTTGATCCCTTTTCATATCCCCATAGGTCTCGTTTATTTTATCGGCCTTTTCTAGGAGATTCTTGAACAACCTTATAAGTGTGGTTCTGAACTCTATATCCAGTCGCTTTTTGTCCTCCATTTCTTTCGTTTGTGATCTATTTCATTGTCTTGGCATTTTTGCCGCTTCCCTGATGGGGTGGAGTTTCAGGGTGGAGCCTACCAGCTTGGCTTCTGTCAGCCACGCCCTATGCGGTTCCTGAGTCTCAGTAATCCCCAGGGTCCTTCAGTACTCCCTGCAAGCACCTCTGAGAGAAAGGTGTCTTTGATTTTCGCCTGCTACCAAACAGTGTAGGCTTTCCCCCAATGAGCCCGGAACTGAGGTTCAGTTCATTTGGAAGTGGGGTTGGAGGTGACATTCAGAGCAGTCTGGAGCCCCTTCCCGCCAGGGCAATCCCGCGGCACAGCCAACCATCCCTTCTCTGTACGCATTGTGCGCGCCTCCGGGGTCCTCCTTTCGTCCCTCCCCCGGGGTTCTGCCTTACAGCCCAGCTCCCTCTGTTTGAGCCTGGGTCCCCGGGGTCTGGCCTAGAACTGGGGTTCAGAGGAGTCGGAACTGGGGCCCAGCACAGTCCGGAGCCTTTGTCTCCTTCCCACCAGGGCAATCTGGCAACAGAGTCAACCGTCCGTCCTCTGCGCACAATGTGCGCACCTCCGGGACTGCCTCTTCGCGCGCGCGGCGTGTCTCCGTACCTCGGGCTTTTACAGCTCCTCCGCTCTTCCTTCTGGTTCTTAACTTGCTTCTCGTTGTAGAATATCCAGTCAGTCGACTTTCCTGTAATTCTGGGTAATGTCCATTTTATATTTTAGTTGTATTTTATTGAAATTGTTGTGTGCGGCTGTGGCTAGGTGTTTACCTGTGCAGCCATCTTGGATTCTCTTTTGTAAGTTCAAACTATCAAAATTTTTATTCTGCATATTCAACTTTGTGTGTAATTAAAAATTAAGTTTATAAGTAATATTCATATCATAAACTGATTATATAAGAAGTGTTTTTAAAGTTGAATTTGAAATCAGTTTCCCATAAGAACCTGTAATTAAATAACCCATCCATAAAAATGTACTTAGTAACCAAATTTGATAAAAGTAATGATAGCACCAGCTTATTTATGACTTATATTACAGAAAGCTAATTGATACTAATTTAAAGGAGAAATAGAGACAAATGGCTCTTCCTGGCACTGGTATAACAGCAGGCAAGCTTCTAAAGCATAATGCAAGGTTTTATATTTGTAATCCCACTCTTTTCTGTTCCTTTCCTCTGGCTGACAAGTCTTCTTCACTCAAAGCTACCCAAGGCTTACATGCTGATATCAGTTCCCCATGTACAGCCCTGTAATCCTTCCCTAGCCTTCCACAGCATTATGTCTTATTCTGCTTCAAAATTCTTAAATGGTTACCTATGTATTAATATTTTAAAATTAAAAATAATTAAGCATGGAATACAAAAGGGCTTTCACAATCTAACCCATGTGTCATCTCTTCTAGTTTCATCTTTTTACCATTCCCTCTACCCAAATAGCCTACAATTCCAAACAAACTGACCTCATCTTCCTTCTCCCCCCCTCATCCTATATGGTAACAGAGGAGTGGCCTAATTGTCTTCTATTATGAGTAGCCCCTAAGGTAATAATTATGCAAAAGTTTTTACTGTAAAAGTTTTCTGGCTCAAATCTATCTCAAAATAGTATAAAATAATGATTCAATTTTATGTGAAAGCCAGAGATAGCCATATGGTTCCACCTCTTTCCCAATTGTCCTTTCTTCACTGTCACTTATAAAAACGGGTTTTATGTTCTTGTTTTGTCCGTTTTTTCCCCCTTGGTTTTCTTCTTCATCTTTGTGCCCTTCTTTTTCTTGAAATTAAGTCCAGTTCAGTATACCAGCCTCCTTCACTCACTCTTATTTTTGTCTCAAAAATCTAAGCTTTTGTTTATTAAAGTATTTAATTTTCTTTTTAATCTGTGAAAATACAGACCCTGTCAGCTATTTTGACTTCTTTTCTTTCTTGCCTTTTCATCTGTTACAACACATATTTCATTCTCATAAATGTGGCCAAATATTTTGGCTGGCTTGTTTTTCATATATATTATATATATATTTTCCCTTTTAAACCCATTTTATCTTCATGTATCTTTCAAACGACTCTTACATTCATTACTGCTATATATATATAAAAGCCTAAGCAATTGTCTGAACGTCCAAATGGTAGCTTTGATACACAATGACCACCAGGAGGCAGACACTCAATGCAGGAGCTGCAGAGCTGCATTGACTTGGCAGCTGTGGTTCTTGGGTGATGCACCCTGGAACCAGAGAGGAGGGAGCCCAATTCCAGGGTGCATCACCTAAGAACTGCCCTTCGCAATTTGAGACCCCTCAGAGGATGTCGGAGAGCTGGTTTTAGCTCAGTCCCTGCAGACCAGGTTGAGGGACCCCACCTGTGTATGAATCCATGCACCAGGCCTCTAGTCTTATAATAGTGCAAGATGCTAATTCAAAAGGGGAAAAGTTTGTTATGTCTCCTTGTACTCCTAATTCTTAAGCTGATCTGGCCAAGAGGTAGGTAATTTGACATTCAATTTCGTGATAGAACTAGAATCTCCACTATTAAGGATCAAATAACTTAATTCTATTAAAAGTGAAAACCTTGTTCTATTACTCAGATAGGAAATATGAGGACATTATCATTTTGTAATTAGTTTTAGAAGGGTTACAAATGCAAAATTAGAAAATGAGATTTTTGATAAAATTAATGGCAGTTATTAATCACTATGTGCCAGGCATTATACCAAACTATATCAACTGCTTTAGGTACATAATATCCATTAATGCTCACAGCAATTTTACAAAGTTTGTGCTTTTTTATCTCTTATTTTATAAGTGGGATATGAAAAGTCAGAGATATTCAATAACTTTTCAGTTTGCCTAGCTATTAGATAATCTAGACTGTCAATGCTTATGCTTCTTCTGCTGTTTTGTGCAGTTCATTTTACACACACACACACCATTACCAATCCAGGCTATGATGCAGTGCTTTATAAGGAGCATCTTTTCATGCACTAGCTATTTCAAAATTTGAGGAAAGCAAACCTTGATTTTAAATTACTAAATTCACAAATCTGTGTTGATTAGTGTAGATTAAGTTAATATTTCTTACTTGTTTTTTCACAGACTGAAGGTGCTGGACTTGCTACCTGTATAGAACTATGTGTAAAAGCTCTACGCTTGGAATCTACAGAAAATACTGAAGTGAAAATATCTATTTGCAAGACCATTTCTTGTTTGTTGCCTGATGATCTGGAAGTTAAACGTGCTTGTCAACTGAGCGAATTTCTTATTGAGCCTACAGTAGATGCATATTATGCTGTGGAAATGTTATATAACCAGCCAGACCAGAAATATGATGAAGAGAATCTTCCAATACCAAATTCTCTACGCTGTGAGCTCTTACTTGTATTAAAAACTCAGTGGCCCTTTGATCCAGAATTCTGGGACTGGAAAACCTTAAAACGACAATGTCTTGCATTAATGGGGGAAGAAGCATCCATTGTGTCTTCAATCGATGAACTAAATGACAGTGAAGTTTATGAGAAAGTAGGCGACTACCAGGAAGAGACGAAAGAAACTTCTGTGAATGGACTTACTGGAGGAGTTGGTGCTAATTCTGGCCTTTGTGATGAAAAACAGAAGAAGAAAGAGATAAAGCAATTGAGAGAGAGAGGATTTATATCTGCTAGGTTTCGGAATTGGCAAGCCTACATGCAGTATTGTGTGCTATGTGACAAAGAATTTCTTGGTCATAGAATAGTACGACACGCTCAAAAACATTACAAAGATGGGATTTACAGTTGTCCTATCTGTGCAAAGAACTTTAATTCTAAAGAAACTTTTGTCCCTCATGTCACATTGCATGTTAAACAATCTAGTAAAGAGAGACTAGCAGCTATGAAACCATTAAGAAGATTGGGAAGGCCGCCTAAAATCACAACTACCAATGAAAATCAGAAGATTAATGCTGTGACCAAGCAGGAACAGCGGCCTATAAAAAAGAATAGTCTTTATTCAACAGACTTTATAGTATTTAATGACAATGATGGCTCAGATGATGAAAATGATGACAAAGACAAGTCTTATGAGCCAGAAGTCATCCCAGTCCAGAAACCAGTACCTGTCAATGAATTTAATTGCCCTGTAACTTTTTGTAAAAAGGGCTTTAAGTACTTTAAAAATTTAATTGCTCATGTAAAGGGGCATAAGGATAATGAAGATGCCAAGCGCTTTCTTGAAATGCAAAGCAAAAAAGTTATTTGCCAGTACTGTAGACGTCATTTTGTAAGTGTTACTCATCTCAATGATCACTTACAAATGCACTGTGGTAGTAAACCATATATCTGTATACAGATGAAATGTAAGGCTGGTTTTAATAGTTATGCAGAGCTCTTAACCCACCGAAAGGAACATCAAATTTTTAGAGCAAAGTGTATGTTTCCTAAATGTGGCAGAATTTTTTCAGAAGCTTATTTACTCTACGATCATGAAGCACAGCATTATAATACCTATACTTGTAAGTTCACAGATTGTGGTAAAGTATATCGTTCTCAGAGTGAGCTAGAAAAGCATCTGGATGATCATAGCACTCCTCAAAAAGCACTGCCTCCAGAAGACCAACTTAATTCTTCTGGAGCTTCTGTCCAGCTTTCCAAAGTGAATCAGAACCCAGAAGGGACCACTGAGAAAGAAATGTCTATGCTTCCTTCACAAGATAACGTTGAAAGTACGTTATCAACAGATAGAAGTGATGCTTGGGATAAAAGCAGTGCAGAATCAGCTGTGGCCAAACAAGACCATGTTTCTGCTTGTGAGCTCAGGCAAGCTGATGAACCATTGTCAAATGGTTTGGAAAATCCTGCTACTACTCCTCTGCTACAGGCCAGTGAAGTGGCTGTGTCCATTAAGGTGTCCCTCAATCAGGGAATTGAGGATAACTTTGGAAAGCAAGAAAACTCAACTGTGGAAGATTCTGGAGAATCACTGGTCACAAACATACATACAGTAGTTGAAGATACTTGTAATGATTTGTGTCATCCAAGTTTCCAGGAGAGAAAAGAGCAGGATTGCTTTAATGAAGCCCAGATTACTCAGAATTCTTTAGAAAACACAGAAACGCTCAAAATAGGTGACCTTACCCCACAAAACTTAGAAAGACAAGTGAACAACTTGATGGCCTTTTCTGTGCAAAATCAGACAGGATTTCAAAACAGTTTGCCAACATCCAAGTTTGAATGTGGAGATAATGTTAAAACATCAGCTAATCTTTATAATTTACCCCTTAAGACATTAGAAAGTATCACATTTGTTCCACCACAGCCCAATCTAAGTAGTTCTTTAGGAACTCCATCAGTGCCTCCAAAAGCGCCAGTTCAGAAGTTCAGTTGCCAGGTTGAGGGATGTACTCGAACCTATAATTCTTCACAGAGTATTGGGAAGCACATGAAGACAGCACACCCTGACCAGTATGCTGCATTTAAAATGCAGTGCAAAAGTAAAAAAGGCCAGAAATCTAACAACTTAAATGTACCAAATAATGGAAAGTTTGTTTATTTTTTGCCATCACAGGTCAGCAGCTCTAACAATGCATTTTTTACACCACAAACCAAAGCCAATGAAAATTCTACTTGTTCAGATCAGTTGCAGCATGTCTCATCTTCCATTTTTCCAGCTCAGTTGGCCAGTGTATCAACTCCATTGTTACCCTCGGTAGAAAGTGTCATAAATCCAAATTTACCTTCTCAGGATAAAAATGAACAGGGTGGTAGTATGATATGTTCCCAGATGGAAAATTTGTCTAATACTACCTTACCAGCACAAGTGGAAGATATAACCAAAACAGTTTTGCCTTTGAATATTGACAGTGGCTCAGATCCTTTCCTTCCTTTACCTGCAGAAAATAGTTCAATGTCTCTCTTCCCTTCACCAGCAGATAGTGGAACTAATTCTGTTTTTTCCCAGCTGGAAAACAATACAAGTCATTTTTCCTCACAGATTGAAGGAAACACTAATTCCTCCTTTCTAAAAGGAGGTAATGTTGAAAATGCAGTTTTTCCCTCACAAGTAAATGTTGCAAATGACTTTAGCAGCACCAGTATGCAACAGTCTGCTCCTGAGAAAGTTAAGAAAGACCGTGGGCGAGGCCCAAATGGGAAGGAAAGAAAACCCAAGCACAACAAAAGGGCTAAGTGGCCTGCAATTATCAGAGATGGGAAATTTATCTGTAGCAGGTGTTATAGGGCTTTTACCAATCCCAGATCGCTTGGTGGACACTTGTCTAAGCGATCTTATTGTAAACCTCTGGATGGAGCAGAAATTGCTCAAGAACTTCTACAGAGTAATGGACAGCCTTCTCTTCTTGCCAGCATGATTCTCTCCACAAACGCAATAAATTTGCAGCAGCCACAACAGTCTACCTTCAATCCAGAAACATGTTTTAAAGATCCATCATTCCTACAACTACTTGCTGCTGAAAATCGCTCTTCAACATTTTTACCAAATACATTTCCTAGGACTGGTGTGACTAACTTTAATACAAGTGTTAGCCAAGAAGGAAGTGAAATTATCAAACAGGCTTTGGAAACTGCTGGGATTCCCAGTACATTTGAGGGTGCTGAAATGCTTTCTCAAGCTCCAACAGGTTGTGTCTCAGATGCAGCACAAGTAAATGCTACAGTGATACCAAATCCAGCAGTGCCACCAACCATGTTGCAGACTGTGTGCCACCCAAACTCCCTGCTGACAAGCCAGAATAGGACACCAAACTCCAAAACTCCCTCCATTGAGGAATGCAGCAGTTTGCCCATTTTTCCAACAAATGACTTACTACTGAAGACTGTTGAAAATGGTTTGTGCTCTAGTACATTCCCTAATTCTAGTGGGCCATCACAAAATTTTACCAGTAACAATTCACGTGTTTCAGTTATAAGTGGTCCTCAGAACACAAGGTCCAGTCATTTAAATAAAAAGGGAAATAGTGCTTCTAAGAGAAGAAAGAAAGTTACTCCTCCACTAATTGCTCCTAATGCTTCCCAAAACTTGGTAACTAGTGACTTAACAGCAATGGGACTTATAGCAAAGAGTATAGAGATACCAGCTAACCTTCATTCAAACGTAATTCCAAATTGTGAACCTCAGACTTTGGTGGAAAATCTAACACAGAAATTAAGTAATGTGGATAATCAATTATTTCTGACTGATGTGAAAGAAAACTTTAAAACCAATCTTGAGTCTCATACAGTGTTAGCCCCTTTACCATTAAAAACTGAAAATGGTGATTCTCAAATGATGGCTTTGAATTCATGCACAACTTCAATAAGTTCTGATTTGCAGATTACTGAAGATAATGTTATACAAAACTTTGAAAAGACTCTTGAAATTATTAAAAGTGCTATGAATTCTCAAATACTTGAGGTAAAAAGTGGATCTCAGGGTGTTGGTGAAACATCACAGAATGCTCAAATAAATTATAACATTCAACTTCCTTCAGTAAACACTGTACAGAATAACAAATTACCTGACTCTTCTCAGTTTTCCTCCTTCGTAGGTGCTGTGCCGACAAAAAGTAACATTCCTCAGTCTGAAGTATTCCATAAGGAGGATCAAATACAAGAAATTTTAGAAGGCTTACAGAAATTAAAATTAGAAAATGACCTATCCACTCCAGCATCCCAATGTGTACTAACAAATACATCAGTGACACTGACTCCTGTTCCTGTTAAAGCAATTCCAAATGTTACAGTTGTTCAGCCAGTTTCTGAAATGATAAATATTCAGCTTATTGACAAAGTTAATAAACCCTTTGTGTGTCAAAACCAAGGCTGTAATTACAGTGCTATGACAAAGGATGCACTATTTAAGCACTATGGTAAAATTCATCAGTACACTCCAGAGATGATACTTGAAATTAAAAAGAATCAGTTGAAATTTGCTCCATTTAAATGTGTAGTACCTACCTGCACAAAAACATTTACAAGAAATTCTAACCTCCGAGCGCACTGTCAGTTGGTACATCATTTTACAACAGAGGAAATGGTAAAATTAAAAATAAAAAGGCCTTATGGGAGAAAATCTCAGAATGAGAGTTTGTCAGTTTCACGAATAACACAAGTAAAAAGACAGCTAGCTATGATAGAGGAAAATAAAAGGGAATTTCAGTCTGCTATGGAACTGGGAGCAATGAAGGAAAATGCCTTCAGTAATATAGCAGTGATTCCAGAAAATCAACTTCTAGAAAAAAAAAGTTTTGAAAAAACAGAAAGTTCTCCACAAGTATGCACAGTTATTTCAGAACAGTGTAATACAAATTCTCTCCCAAACATACAAACCAAAGGACGGAAAATCAGGAGACATAAAAAAGAAAAGGAGGAGAAGAAACGCAAGAAGCCAGTTTCCCAACCCCTTGAGTTTCCAACAAGCTACAGTCCTTATAGACCTTACCGATGTGTTCATCAGGGTTGCTTTGCTGCCTTTACAATACAGCAAAACTTAATTCTGCATTACCAGGCTGTACACAAATCAGATCTACCTGCATTTTCTGCAGAAGTTGAAGAGGAAAGCGAGACTGGTAAAGAAAGTGAAGAAATTGAAACTAAACAAACGGTGAAAGAATTTCGATGTCAGGTGAGTGACTGTTCTAGAATTTTCCAAGCTATTACTGGCTTAATACAACACTATATGAAACTTCATGAAATGACTCCTGAGGAAATTGAAAGTATGACTGCTTCCGTGGATGTTGGGAAATTTCCGTGTGACCAGTTAGAGTGTAAATCTTCCTTTACCACATATTTGAACTATGTCGTTCATCTTGAGGCAGACCATGGGATTGGTATAAGGGGGAGTAAAACTGAAGAAGATGGCATATACAAATGTGATTGTGAGGGCTGTGACCGTATATATGCAACTCGGTCTAATCTCCTTCGACACATTTTTAATAAGCATAATGATAAACATAAAGCTCATTTGATTCGGCCAAGAAGGTTAACATCTGGTCAGGAAAATATATCAAGCAAAGCAAACCAAGACAAGACAAAGTCTAAATATCGGGGAACAAAATACAGATCTGGAAAGGAAGGAACCAAAATGCCTAAGATCAAACGAAGGAAAAAAAATAATTTAGAAAACAAGAATACAAAGATTGTACAGATTGAAGAAAATAAGCCTTATTCTCTGAAACGTGGAAAGCATGTATATTCTATAAAGGCAAGAAATGATGCCTTATCTGAATGTACAAGCAAATTTGTAACCCAATATCCGTGTATGATAAAGGGGTGTACATCAGTTGTTACAAGTGAAAGCAATATAATTCGACATTATAAATGTCATAAATTATCTAAAGCTTTTACATCACAGCACCGCAATCTTCTTATTGTCTTCAAACAGTGTTGCAATTCACAAATAAAGGAAACTTCTCAGCAAGAAGTTGATAAGAATGATGTGAAAGAATCAGGTCCATGTGTATCAGAGAGCAGCGATGATAATGCAAGAACAACTACAGTTCCACAGAAGGAAGTTGAAAAAAATGAAAAAGATGAAATGGATGAACTGACAGAATTATTTATTACAAAATTAATAAATGAAGATAACACAAATGTGGAGACCCAAGCTCATACCTCTTCAAACGTAAATAATGATTTTCAGGAAAATAAACCCTGCCAACAAGAAAAACAAAAAGGAAGTAATTTGAAGAGAGGTAATAAAGAAAAAAATGTCTCCCAAAATAAAAAGAGGAAAGTTGAAAAGGCTGACCCAGCACCAGCAGTTGAGTTAAGTAATTTGCATAAAGAAGAAGAAACTGCTGTTGCAATTCAAACCACTGAGGAGCATCCTGCCTCTTTTGACTGGAGCTCATTTAAACCGATGGGATTTGAAGTGTCATTTCTGAAGTTTCTTGAGGAGTCTGCAGTGAAACAGAAGAAAAATACTGACAAAGAGCATTCAAATAGTGGAAGTAAAAAAGGATCCCATTCAAATTCAAGAAAAAATATTGACAAGACTGCTGTGAATAGTGGAAATCATATATGTTCTCATAAAGAGAGTGAAACCTTTGTACAGTTTGCCAATCCATCACAGCTTCAGTGCAGTAATAATGTAAAAATTGTTTTAGACAAGACTCTGAAAGACTGCACCGAGCTTGTCTTAAAGCAACTTCAGGAAATGAAACCTACTGTCAGTCTGAAAAAACTTGAAGTACATTCAAATGATCGATGTGTGTCTGTTCTGAAAGAAATCAGTATGGGCAAAGCCACAGGGAGAGGACAGTACTGATAACTAATGTGCTATAAATATGTCACTTAGAATTTTATTTTAAACAGCCATCAAGCATGCTAGAATTGTAAAACTTATTCATTATTTTTTGTTGTTATTAACATGAATTAACCTGGCCAAAAAATGGAGGGGAAAAACAAAAAAAAACACACATGACATTTGTCATGTAAAACTTTATCCCTATGGGACTTGAAGAACAGAATCAAAACTTAAGTTATTGTAAATATTGAGCTAAAACTCAAATTTCTATCAACCAATTGTCCTTTTCATGAATTATCTGTGAGAATGATTTGTTTCACCAATCACTGTTCATGTATAACTTGGTTTGTAGATATCTTTTTTGTATATATTTATTATTGTAAATCATTTGCTGCCACCAGCAGTATGTAAGTCTAAACTATTAAATGACACATTTATATTTGGAATTTTAATTTTTAACTAAGCAAGTTTTTAAAACTTCTTTTATTTTAAATTAAGAGTTTTTAAACTAAAACTAGAAACTCTGCCATAGTTCATTAATTTTTACATAAAGCATTTATTTACAAGATCTCAAAATCACTTTTCACAAAGCAGGCACATTATATCAACACCTTGCTCTGCTTTGTAAATTGGCCATCCAGGATTTTGGGGTGGTATTTATGTGAAATTAAAGCAGATTTTTTAGCAGTTTCCTATAGCTACAGTCCCCCTAATCCCTGTGCTTCTAATTGGATAGAGATAATATGATTCCATGATAAATAATGGAAATGTGAATAAAGAATTTACATCAAAGATTTTAAACATTTGGTATTATAACAAGAAAATCCTTTGTGAATGTGATAGAAACTAGTAGTGTGGAGCAGTGTAAATATTTGAGGTGGTGATTTGTGAAGTAGCCCAGTATTGCCTTAAATAAAATCACATTTCATTTCTTGTTTTATACATGTGATCTTATAAAGGGTTTTTTTTTCCCCCCATTTTCTGAGATTTATAGATTGGTGTATAGCTTTAAACTGTATAAACTTTTGTGGAAAATTTTTTTAAACATTTTTATAAATCTTAAAATTAGTATCATCAAAGTGAGCCCATCTTGTGTTTATAAAATGCAAGAGTCCTTTGAAACACTTTCTATAAGGAAGTTGGATGTTTCGGTTTTACTGTTTATAGATGTTAGACTGTACAGATTTGTCTGTATTTCCCACCATATCTAATGATACTTTTTTCATTAGATTGGTCCTCCAGAGCAGTATTAGTTGTTATTATTGATTATTTTGGTTATTTAGTATGTAGTTAGCTCTTATAGTTTGGCTTTATTTACCATATTTATACTGTGGATTTACAACTAGAGTTAGAAGTTAATTTCAGGAGAGTTTAGTTGAAGTCCAACTAAAGTCGGCACAGGAAACAAAAGAAAAACATCCTTTCAGATTGACTTTTGTTTCTGTTTGCCATAAATAGTAGCATTGATTTTTGACTTTGTGTTTGTTATAAACCAGTTGCATTCACAATATTATTAGCCTGAGATATCAATAAGATTGTGATGATATGAAAATATGTATATTCCCTGTGCAACATCAGATTTGCAGGAAAATGAAGCACTTAACATGAACTGAAATTGCTGGTACTCTGAATAAATGAACAAGTATTATAGTTTTATTTTTAGGGCCTTATGGGTTATATTGAATAGTTGGTTTCACCTCCTTAAGGTTTATTACCAATATCCATAAAACTTGACACATTAAAATCCCTATCCTTTGGTAAGTCCACTGTTATTTATTAAAATAAAAGTTCTTGTGGGTGTTTAAGACATGTTTTCTTTCCTATATTAACAATAACTGAGTAATTTTAATATTAAATTTTTGTTAACAACTTATGTTTTCGTACAATTTTCTTCAAAGTTGACCTAGCTTTTAAAGATAGGCATTTGGCAAAATTTCCCTATATTGTGCAGAGGCAAGTAGGTTTATTTCTGATGAATTTAGTAATGAGCCACTGTTAAGTGAAAATGTGAATGTATTGGGGTTTTTCTTTTGCTCATTAACTTAAGAACATTGACCACTAGACATTTCTGTAATGGTTCTCGTATATGTTAGAAGAGTTTGACAGCATTGAGTTAAATTTTTTATATTGCAGGTTCTGTATGTTCAAAGTTATATGGAAGAGTGGGCTTTTTAGCATGGAACAGAAATAATCAAATTATGGTATAAAATAAATAAGAATTTATAGAATAGCATGTTGGTAAAATTTGATATGGAATGTAATGCCTAAGTATTAAAAAAAATCATAAAGAATATATTTTCATGGTATACTTTTCCTCAGTCATTTGTCTTGAGAAATATTTTTCCTGCAGCCGCAATTTGCCTAAGACTTCATATTATAAAATTATTTTGGGTTATTTTTTCTCTTCTAACCCCAAAGAATTTGAATATTACAGATCAGAACATGTTATTTATTTAAAATACATTGTTGTGTTAAGTGTAATGTAGCAAACAGTTTGGGAAATTTTCAGTTATGTTAAATTCAGCATAGTTAAACTATTTTAAAGGGCTAGACAGAGGTAGAGTTTTAACAAGATAGATTATGATTATTAAGCTAGCAAATATAGTTGCTATAGCTATTAAAATAAAAGTATGTAAATACTACAGCTAGAGACATCAAAGGAAGAATGCCCTTATTTTGTAAGGGGGAAGAAGGTTGGCAATTGTGAAAGTCATAGAAAAGATGAATTTTGAAAGATGAATACGTAGACATTAGATGGTAAGGGGGGAAGGAATTCTAGGCATGGAGGTATAAAGGGGCATAGTGCATTTGCAGAATTGTAAGTGGTCCATGCAGAAAGGAAGTAGGAGAAATTAAAGAGGCAGATGGGTGAGATCATGAAGGTTCTTGTATGCCATATTGATCTTGTTTTTTTGCTGGATTGTTTAAGTAGTTACTTAATGCATTTAAATTGAACAATTTGATCAGGTACCAGTTTTATAAAGATAATTGGCACTATAGAGAGAATACATTGGGTAAGTTGGAGATTAAAAGCTAGTTTGGCTCAGTGGATAGAGCATCAGCCTATGGACTGAAGGGTCTTGGGTTTGATTCTAGTCAAGGGCACATGCCCAGGTTGTGGGCTCAGTCACCAGTAGGGGGCGTGCAGGAGGCAGCCGATCAATAATTCTCATCATTGATGTTTCTATCCCATTCCTTCCTCCCTGAAGTCAGTATAAAAAATATATATTTCTTTAAAAATATAATAAAAATCAATGGAAAAAATATCCTCAAGTCAGGATTAACAATAACAAAACAAAAAAAAGGGAGGCTTGAAATAGTCCAGGCGAAAAATGATGGGAGCCAGCTATAAAAGAATAATGGAGGTGAGAAAGTACTGTGTTTCCCTGAAAATAAGACATCCTCCGAAAATAAGACCTACTTACAGGTTTCCTTCTGAGTGAAATATAAGGCATCGCCCCGAAAATAAGCCCCCCTCCCTTCCCCCAGGCTAAACATGAGAGATTTGGTCCACTGATTCTGAAAGAAATGGAGTCACAAGAAATTCACCAGGAAATTCAGGAATTGGATTGTTGTTACGATATTCCAGATGATGATGACATGATTGTCATTGGATAAATGAGTAAATTCTTGATACTGTAGGATTCACAGTTTGTCTGGTTTGTGTTGACAACTACCATACTACTGTACCGTATACAGGTAATACATTTCCTTTATTTTCATTTAACAATAAATTTGTACCATATTCTTCTTCATGGAAAAATAAGACATCCCCTGAAAATAAGCCTAGTGCATCTTTGGGAGCAAAAATTAATATAAGACACTGTCTTATTTTCGGGGAAACAGGGTAATGGATGAGAGGTGTTAAAATGTAGAGCAATAAAATAGCCTTTTTCAAAATGTTTATTGTAATTTGATACCAGAGGGTTGGAAGGTTAGGTCTATTCAATGTTTTTAAATATTGAGTTATTTATCACTAAATTAGTGTAATAAGGAACACACTGGAGAAATGATCTAAAGTGGCATTTATTTAGCCAGGACTGATCAGCATCAGGTGCGCATCATACTAATGGTTGTTATTCTGACAGATTAATTTATCCATTCTAGTTGATTGAATGTATTAATGTTTTGAATATCATCCTGCATTTAAGTATTTATTGAATGCCAACTAAATGCACTTTTATTAAAATCTAATCTTATTACTCAAAGTCCCTAACAATTTCTCCGAATACTTAGCTACCTATCATTTTCCTGATGTTTCCATCTCTCTGAACACACCCTAAGCATCTTCCCCTCTCAAGGCCTTTACTGATATTGTCTCATCTGTCTGGAGTGCTTATTCCTGTATTGTATGGCTGACTCATCCATGAATTCTCATCAGAATAATAAGTGTCACATGTCCATTCTCTGTTTTTAATTTTTATATTTACTGTGCCTCACAAATCATTTATTTTTCCAGTGGTCTTACTCAGGGTACTCTTGTTTCAATAATCTGCTTAGATATTATATTCAAAACCTCTTACATCTTGGATTCAACATTCCCTTTCTCCACCCACAATTTTTTTCCAGTTCACCTCAAATTATCTCCACTAAAAAATTCTACCATGTCATAATTAATCCTACCACCACTACTTTCTTACTGTTGGTCAGTTCACTTGGGTCATTGGCTTATTCATCTTAGAAACTAGATCCCACTATTAAACACACTTCCTTGTAAATAATCCTGAGACCATGCCGCGCTCAGTCATAATCTAGAAAGGTCTCAGAACCTTATGTCTACTTCTGAGCAGATGAATGGGAGAAAATTATTACACCAGGAAGGTTTATCTAAAATCTGCCTGACAGGTTTTTTATGGTTTTATTGTAACTTCCACAAACTTCAATGATTTATATATGCTTTCACTCAGTATTCCCACTCCCCTCATCTGAACATCTTTTAACCACCATTTTTGCCACCAAATTAACAAACCCATCTATATCTGCACTCATACTTATTAAAACCAATCTTCCCCATGTAATCT